AAAGCGCGAGAAGTCTTCAGGAAAATACATTTTCATGCAGGTCGCTACTTTTTGAGTTTTTTTTTTAAAGGCGACAGAATTTAAAAAAAAAAAAAGCTAAATTCCTGTCAATATTTTTGAGTTTTTTCTTGTAAATGCGGCAGAAGACGCGGCATATCCTGAAAGCTAAAATCCCTGTCAATATTTTCCAGGACCAACAAACAGCGGTAAAACGTATGAGGCGCTGCAGCGATTCTATGAGGCCAAGACAGGCTTTTATTGCGGGCCACTCCGGCTACTAGCAAACGAAGTTGCGGAAAAAAGCAATGAAAGGGGTGCGTTGATCCATTCAAATACACTTTTTTGCCATAAAATTCATGCGTTATCGCTTTTTTGCTTGAGTTTTGTCAGTGGCCTCGTTTCCGAAAACGAATCTAGTGAGTTTTGGAGAGATGAAGTTATCCATTACATGTTTTTTCTAAGGATTGCTTAGAAGCAAGCTGATGGTGGTTTTGACTCTCTAGCATGCGCTTTTTAGTACCAGCTTCCCATTGAAACGAATTATAAGGAAATGGTTTGCCCTACAGGCAGAGTTGAGTCTTCGACTTTACGGTTTTACTTATTTTTTATGCCATGCTGGCTTTCAAAACAGTGAAAACGTGACTAAATATCATGATATTTATGATCGTGATATTCATGGTCATGATATTCATGATCGTGATATTCATGATCATGATAGAAATATTCTTTTTCTGGGAGGATTCTACAGCAGAGACTAAGTTTATCTGTGTTGGTAGACTTGTATGCAATGCAATAAAGCAACTGTACTCAAAACTGAGTCTCTAAAAATACATGAACTGCCGCAGCTTCCCTGACCATGGGTCTTTTAAATTGGGGGAATAATTTTTTTAATGCAAAAATGCACAAAAATAATTTTTAAAATCAGCAGTGATGATGAAAGACTTAGTAAACTTCGAATTACTCAAATTTTATGAAAATTTTGGAAGGGTTTTGCAAATTAGTCACATGGTGGCTTGAAAGCTGTGTTGATGAGTCCCGCTCCTAACTGCACGCAAAGTTCGATATGTGTTTACAGCTAAGGGATGAAACACTGACTGCATCGTCTCAAAAAACACGTGATCTTCCTCAGCTCCCCTGAAGCTGCCTTTTAAATCGAGGGAATAACTTTTTTAGTGCAAAAACGCACAAAAATAATTTTCAAAATCAGTGAATGATGAAAGACTCAGTAAACTTGGAATTACTCAAATTTTTCGAAAATTTTGAAAAGTTTTTGCAAATTAGTCACATAACTGTTCAATACATGGCAGCTTGGAAGCTGTACTAATGATTCCCGTTCAAAGTTCAATATGTGTTTATAGCTAAGGGATGAAACACAGAATACATCGTCTCAAAAAACACGTGATCTTCCTCCACTTCCCTGGCGCTGCCTTTTAAATTGAGGGAATAACTTTTTTTTTGTTTGAAGGTATTAAATGTGATATGATTACGGGTGAAGAGAGGCGGTATGCAGTGGACGCGGACACTCCCTCATCACATGTTGCAATGACAGTTGAAATGGTTCCCGTGGATGTGAATGTAGAAGTTGCTGTAATTGATGAAATTCAAATGCTGCGTGATCAAAGTCGCGGTTGGGCATGGACACGGGCATTGCTTGGCATCGCTGCCGATGAGGTTTTTCTTCATTTTTTTTATTTTTATTTTTATTTTTTATTTATTTTTTATTTTTTTTGAAGGAGGGTTTGTTGAACATATTAATGGACCGAAACATTTCTTACCATTAAAAAAAAATAATTCTATTAATTTGCAAATTTTGTAATTCTCACCTCCTACTTTCCTTTTTGATTCTTGTTATTTCATCCGTTGTTAATATACCTATTACCATATTAGACATAGCATTGCAGCAATGAGGCATATTTAGATTCATCTTTGTGGTGAAGAAGCAGCAATCAATATTGTGCGTGGCCTACTGGATCCCATTGGTGAGCATGTGGAAGTGCATCTTTATGAGCGGAAAACGCCGCTAATTTTAAGCAGAGAAGCTCTAAAACGACTCGATAATGTTCAGGTAATTCTCATCGCTCCTTCCTTTTTGTTCCTTAATTCTTCATAAAGAAACAAAACTTCTTCCGTGTTTCACCCTTTGTTACAGGCGAAAGTACTCAAAAGTAATTGAAATCATGGCAGTTCGCTAATGGCAGTGGCAAAATTATCATTGATTTCTATGGTTGGATTACTGTTCGGTCTACCAATAGCCGCAAATTATTTTAACAAACTTATCCTACCCTTCGGCTGTTGCTCATTTTGATTTCCTTGAACCATCCGCTTGTTTTAGGCGACCCTTCTAACGACCGTAATTTATTATTCTTTCTTCCAGAGCTTCTCAAAATGCGTGCTACAGCAGTTTGAGCCTCCCTAACGTGCGCCAGCGTGAACCTGCCACTAAAATAAAACAGAGAATGGTGAAAAATTTGCTTTTTTTCCTCTTATTTCACCATTGATTTATATGTGAAGGCAGCAGAATTTGCTAATTTGACCACTATAGTCATATCGTGTAAAGTTTTCTTTATGAATGAAATAAGGGGGAAAAAAGCAAATTTTAAAAAACAAACGTTTAGAATGGGGCAAGACTCGAAAACCCAACTTTTTCAACCACTGTGATTGGTAGTGACACTCAAAATTTAGTCTGTGAAATAGCATATGACAAAAACATCCATGCGCTGGCAGGCCTTTCAATGGCTCTTCTTTTTCGAGAGTTGCTTGGACATGGACGAATCTAGGGCAGGCTTTTTGGGGAAAAGGGCTACAAGCGAAGGGGGAGGGGGGAGGAAGGGGTAAGTGAGGCTCCTGGGGGGAAGAGACGGGGGTAGAAAGGAGAGTTCCCCTTTCCGGCTCCCTCCGTCTCTTCCTGGAACTACGCAAAAGCAACGAATGGAGTTGTAACAATGCTACTTGGAGTTAGTTAAGATTTACTTTAGGCTTTAGTTTACTTCAGTTTTAGTTTTAGACCCGAACTTTTGCAGCATTGATGCCTTTGTCGCTGGGGGGAGCAGGTGCCCATGTGCTTGAAAGCATACTTATAGGAATTTTGACTCGCCGAGCATGCATCAGCACCAATTTACTGTAAAATCGCCTGCTAACGGA